CTACAAAAGCAGCAGTTTTATGTGATCCCATTCAATACTCTGGAGCTCTAGCTTCACAAGTGAATGTAGAGATGAGAGTGACCTTACAAATAGGTATGATGTAATAGAATTGGGTATAGAATCCAGGCTCCTGATTCCCAGTGCAATGTAAAAAGAATACTAGGTTGAGCAGCTGAATGCTAGATGTGTTGGGATTAAAGATGTCTTCAGTATAAAACTCAAGAAGCCAAAATGTATGCAGTAAATAATTTGAGAACAGTATAAGATAGTATATAATCAAATGCTGAGTGGGAGAAAAGTATCAGAAGAGGGTGCCATAGCATCCTTTTCTGCAGTTGGCCACGGTAGATGGTTTATAACAGATTGGATTAGAGTTTAAGAATTCCAGTGAATTTAAATGATCCATTATTTTATTTTATGTATTTATTTATTTTAGTCAGAGTCTCTCTGTTGTCCAGGCTGGAGTGCAGTGGCAGGCTCATGGCCACCGCAGCCTTGATCTGCTGGGCTCAGGTGATCCTTCCACCTCAGCCTTCCAAGTAGCTGGTACTACAGGCATGCGCCACCATGCCCAGCTAATTTTTTGATTTGTTGTAGAGACAAGGTCTCACCATGTTGCCCAGGTTGGTCTTGAACCCATGGACTTAGGCAATTCTTGCCTCTGCCTTCCTAAGTGCTGGGACTACAGGTGTGAGCTACTGTACCCAACTTATCCATTATTTAAAAAAAAATCTGTGGGATGTTTGTGGCATACTTCAGTCTGTAAGCAAGGCATATGTTGCCTGTTTACTTTGTTTTTTCTCAGTAAATTTTTTTTTTGCTGCAGCATGGCATAAATACAGTCAGTTGAATTTGCAAGAGCTATTCTGTAGCCTGCTAGTGCCACTTGCAATGGCTGATGAAGGTGGAAAATGACTTTGTGACATTTTTTTTTTTTTTTTGAGTTGGAGTCTCACTCTGTCGCCCAGACTGGAGTGCAGTGGCCGTTCCTGGCCACCGCAGCCTCCTGCTGGGCTCTGGCGATCCTTCCGCCTCAGCCTTCCAAGTTGCCGGAATTACAAGCATGCGCTACCACACCCGGCTGATTTCTTTGATTTATTATAGAGATGAGGTCTTATTGCCCAGGCGGGTCTCGAACCAGCGGGCTCAGGCAATCCACTCACCTCAGCCTCCCAAAGGCACGGGATTACAGGCTGAGCCACCGATTTAAATGCTTTGCATGATCACAGGGCTATGGGGAGGATGCTCATGGGACATGAGATTGGTTTTAATTATGGTTACTTTTGACACACCCTCATATGATTGCTCAGTTTTTATTTCCAAATAGATGCGGTTCTGTGTTTAGGGGTGGCTGACAGTATAATGTGTAATTTTCTTCCCCCGAATGTCCCAAAGATGACTTTACATCTGGGGGGAAAAAAGTCAAAGAATTGACAATGCCAGCATGAAATCTTTTGAGGGAAAGCATAATATGTCTAATGTATAATTATGAGCTTATGCTAAACAATTTGTGGACAAATTGAAGTTTTTTCCTGATTGCAGCTCAGCTTTTCAGATTTTAATTCAATTGAATTAACTTTTTAATAGTGATGGACATTATTGACATGACAGAGAATCTTAAGTTGAAGTATTTTTTTGGGGGTGTGGAGATCAGAAATAATTTTTTGTTTGTTTTGAGTTGGCATCTCACTCCTTCACCCAGGCTGGTGTACAGTAGCACTTACACTCACGGCCACCCCAGCGTCGACCAACGCTGGGCTCTGGCAAGCCTTCCAGAGCCCGAACTACAGACGCAGGCTACTGCACCCGGCTAATTTTTTTATTTTATTGTAGAGACGAGGTCTTGCCAGGTTGCCCGGGCTGGTCTCGAACATGTGGGCTCAGGCAATCCACTCGTTTTGGCCTGCCAAAGTGCTGGTATTACAGGCTGAGCCACTGAGCCCAGCCCAGAAATAATTTTAACCTAGTTTTGAAACATGTAGTTAATTCACTTTCCACAAATTTGATGCTAGTTGATTCTTTAGGCCAGTAAGTTCGGTTTTGTTTTAAATATAAGAAAGATGTTATGTGATACCACACCAGCATGAAAATCTATCCTCTTAAAGAGACGTTTGTTTATAATTATGTAATCAAAAGTATTTTGTTGTTGTTCATTTTCCAGGATAGTACAGGTTTATTAATATTTCTGACTTAAAAATCTGAAATCTGAAATGCTCCAAAATCTTAAACTTTTTGAACATGACATGACACTGAAAGGAAATGCTCATTGGAGCGTTTCGGATTTTAGGTTAGGTATACTGAACCAGTAAGTATAATGCAAATATTCCAAAATCCAAAATCTGGTCCCAAGCATTTCGAGTAAGGGATACTCAACTTGTATATAAAACACTCCTCCTCCCCATCCCCTGTTATGCTCCTTGAATGCTCTGCATTCAGCCTTATACTGGAGTGCATGGATTATGCCCATATTTGGGTGCTTTAAAACTCATCTTTAGGTCTGTTTCAAAATATGTCACTAAAATGCATGCTACTAAGAATTTGTTTTTAATTAAGCCAGTATTTGTTGAGCAGTGCTATATTTGAATGCAAAGTGCTAGAGGGTAAAATGATGAATAAGACTCAGGGTGGAAGGTTGAAAAAGCATGAATAAACAAACACAGGTAGGTACTTGCCACGATATGTCCCTTAGTGACTGCCAGTCTTTAAAAATTGTGACCTACTGTAAGAAATTTGTTTTCTACTTTATCTTTTTTTTTTTTTTTCTGGGTTGGATCCTCACTTTGTCGCCCAGGCTAGAGTGCAGTGGCATGCTCACGGCCACTGCAGCCTTGACCTCCTGGCCTCAGGCGATCCTTCTGCCTCAACTTTCCAAGAACCTGGAGCTACAGGTGTGCGCTACCATGCCCCACTTATTTTTTGACTTTTTGTAGAGATGAGGTCTTACCAAGTTACCCAGGCTGATCTCGAACCCCCAGGCTCAGGCAATCCTCTTGCCTTGGCCTCCCAAAGTTCTGTGATTACAGGCTGAGCCACTGTGCCCTCCTGTCTACTCTATCTTATTATTGTTTTCTACTAATTTATTTATTAAATTATTTAATTTACTGTTATTTTTTCTTCTTTATTTGTTGTATATGTAAGTACAAAATGTTTGTACCCACAAAATTGATTTCATTACTTAATTGATCCTACTGTTTGAAAGCCAGTTATGTAGCTAGTAGCCCGATGTGGTTGAAATGCAAAGAACATGAAGTGATGCAGTGAGGGATGACATGGAATTTGCTTTGGTTCCTGAAAGTTATTCTTTTTTTCTTACTTCTCGCCCTTTATATAGGTTAATGCTTTTTTTTGTTTAAACTTGGTTGCCTTTTTATTTTCTGTCTTCAACAGATAAATCACTTTCTTGGTTATTACTAAATATAAGATTAATTTGAATTTTTCCTAGGGTGGCAATCAGTGGGCTTACTTTTAAAATCTTAATTTTAATTTAATTCTTATGAGTTATTAATATGCTTTTGTCAGCATTAATTTTAGTGAAATAACTAAGTCTTACAAGTTCCTTTGTAGAAACCACTGGTTAGATAAGATTTTTTTTCAAAATCAGAATATCAGAATTATTTAGCCAGCAAACAGGAAATTTAGTCATGGTAGTCAGTAGATCAAAATCTCTTATATGTTCTGTTGGGATTTTTTTTTTTTTTTTTTTTTTTTTTT